CCCTCTCTGTGCTCCCACGCGTGGCCTCCAGTGCCCTGGAGAAGAAAGCCCCCCGGCCACGCCTGCGCCTGCAGAGGAAGCGGCTGCCCCTCCCCGCCAGGCCCCGCAGGGCAGAGGAGGGACCCGCAGGCTCACTGGGGCCGCCACAGGGCTGGTTGTCGTATCGCTCGCAGTTGACATTGTCACACTCGCAGTAGCGCCCGTAGATCTGCTTGTTGGGGACGTCGCTGGTGTGGCACACGCACTGCCCGCAGACGCAGTCCCCCAGCCCCGAGCACACGAGGGAGCTGTTGTCCTTCCGGCAGCTTCCCTCCAGCTCCTGGCTGCTCCGGCCCTGCGTCTGGCACTCACAGTTTTTCCCGATGTAGCCAGCGTCGCACCTGGGGGGAGACGTCAGAGGTCGTCCCCGGCCCCATCTGGGACAGCCACCCGTCCCCGTCCCTCAGGGCCTGCCTGGCCTCGGCTGAGGACACTCGCTGTGCACGCCGTGCTCCTGCCCAAGGCCTCCTGAGCACGCGCCATGCTCTGAGCACGCGGCCGGCCCCGGGCACCCATCAGAGAGAGCCGGGCTCGCTCTGAGGACGTCCTAGAGGGCAGCAGACACGTGACCTTGGCCATGAGGTGGTGGCTCGGCCGGCTCACTGCGCACTGTGGCCCAGGCTGTGCACATAGTACATGCGGGGTCCTGGCGCTCCACGACAGCCAGTGCCTGCTTCCGCGTGCTCCAGGCTCCCACCGGGCTGGCGGGGACTGTCTGCCGTGTCTTCACCTTCACACCTGCCGCCACCGGCTGCATTTATGTGCTGCCCGGGCAGGTTGCCAGAGGATTCCGGGACAAGGGTCTATCCAGCAAGGACAGCAGTCCCAGGCCACTGGCACACAGGTGCTGAGAGCGTCCTGGCAGCCACAGAGACGACCCCCGACGGGCTGTCCTGCCTCCCAGAGGAGGAAGCTGCGGGACAGAGCGTCTCGCTGAGCCGCGGTGGCACCGCTGCCACCGGCCAACTTCCAACTGAGTCGGCCTCGCTATCCCTCCGGGAGGCCACCCAAGAGCGGCACACCGGGACGGCGGGCGGAGTGGCTGCTGACGTGGGCACAGGGACAGCCGCAGAGACCACCACGTGCTGGGCTGCAGGAGGGGTGGTGGGGCCTGGGGGTCCGTGGCACTTCCACAGGGGTGTGGCCGGGCAGAGCAGGCAGGAGGGGAAGGTGGCCGGGCACAGGGTGGCACCTGCGGGTCGCCCAGCAGCTCTGGCCAGGCAGGCTGTGCCTCCGGGCCCCTGAGCAGGTGGGGACTGGGATGGGGGGGACACAGCCATCCAGTCCCAGGGCAGGCAGGACCTTATAGGGGGGCAGCAGGAGGCAGGGACTGGAGTCACAGTGGTGAGAAGAGGACATCCTGGGGGGGGGTCAGTCTGCTGTGGGTGGCCACTGGATTGGCCTTGGCCTATGTCACGTAAAGCTCCCCACTGTGCACACCTGCGCCCTCCCTTTGCCCTGAGGCGGGGCCCCCACTCCTTACCACACACCCCAGGCCTTGGTGTGTGCACACCCAGGGGTGGCCTGCAGGGCCTGGGCTACCAGAGCGGTCACCTGTCCTGGGAGGCCTTCTGGCTGCAGGGGTTCCCAGGGCTGCCGGCCTAATGGCCCTGGGTTCCCAAGGTCGCAGAGAAGTGGGCCCCTAGGGGACAAGTGAGGCTGGGCAGAGAAAGTCACCTGCCCCAGGCACATCCAGCAGGGCTCCTTGCGCCCCTGAGATGGGTCTCCCTGCTCTGGTGAGAGGCCCTGCCCACCAGTCCCCCTGCCGTGGACCCTCCGTGGCCGAGCGTGGGGAGTGCAGATGCAGCTGGCATTGCAGATCCCACAAGGCAGGGGGCTTCGGAGGCTTGTCACGCCAGTCCTCCACCGTCACTGCAGCGGGTCCCTGGGACTGCCACGAGAGGTTGGGTGAGTAGAGCACCATGGCTTGCCCTTCTCACTAAAGGCATTGGTAGGGGGTCTGTGGCCTTGCAGGATCACTACAAAACCCGCCCTGGGGGTGCGGGATTGGCACCTGCACCTG